CCAAGACACATAATCATCAGATTCACCAGGGTTGAAATGAAGGAAGAATTGCTAAGGGCAGCCAGAGAGAAAGATTGGGTTACCGAAAAATGAAGCCCATCAGACTCACAGTGGATTTCTCGGCAGAAACCCTATAAGCCAGAAGAGAGTGGGGGCCAATAGTCAGCATCCTTAAAAGAATTTTCAACCCAGAATTTCATATCCAACCAAATTAAGCTTCATAAGTGAAAGAGAAATAAAATTCTTTACAGATAAGCAACTGCTGAGAGATTTTGTCACCATGAGGCCTGCCTTACAAGAGATCCTGAAGGAAGCATTAAACATGGAAAAGACAACCAGTACCAGCCACTGGAGAAACATTCCGAATTGTAAAGACCATTGACACTATGAAGAAACTACATCAACTAATGGGCAAAACAACCATTTAGCATCAGAGTGACAGGATCAAATACACACATAGCAATATTAACCTTAAATGTAAATGGGTTAAATGCCCCAATCAAAAGACACAGACTAGCAAATTGGATAAAGAGTCAAGACCCATCTCATGTGCAAAGACACACATAGGCTCAAAGGAATGGAGGAAGATTTACCAAGCAAATGGAGAGCCAAAAAAAGCAGGGGTTGCAATCCTAATACCTGATGAAACAGGTAAACCAACAAAGATCAAAAGAGACAAGGGCATTACATAATGGTAAAGGGATCAATGCAACAAGAAGAGCTAACTCTCCTAAATATATATGCACCCAATACAGGAGCACCCAGATACATAAAGCAAGTTATTAATGACCTAAGAAAGAGACTTAGACTCCCACACAATAATAGTGGGAGACTTTAACACCCCACTGTCAGTATTGGACTGATCAATGAGACAGAAAATTAACAAAGATATCCAGGGCTTGAACTCAGATCTGGACCAAGCAGACCTAATAGACATCTACAGAACTCTACACCCCAAATCCACAGAATATACTTTCTTCTCAGCACCACATCACACTTATTCTAAAGTTGACCACAGTTTGAAGTAGAACACTCCTCAGCAAATGCAAAAGAACGGAAATCATAACAGTCTCTTGGACCACAGTGCAATCAAATTAGAACTCAGGATTAAGAAACTTACTCAAAACTGCACAACTACATGGAAACTAAACAACCTGCTCCTGAACAACTACTGGATAAATAATGAAATGAAGGCAGAAATAAAGATGTTCTTCAAAACCAATGAGAATGAAGACACAACATACCAGAATCTCTGGGACACATTTAAAGCAGTGCCTAGAGGGAAATTTATAGCACTAAATGCCCATTAGAGAAGTGAGGAAAGGTTTACAATTGACACCCTAATGTCATGATTAAAAGAACTAGAGGAGCAAGATCAAACAAATTCAAAAGCTAGCAGAAGACAAGAAATAACTAAGATTGGAGCAGAACTAAAGGAGATAGAGACATGAAAAAACCTTCAAAAAAATCAGTGAATCCAGGAGCTTTTTTTTCTTTTTAAAGATCAACGAAATAGACCATTAGCCAGGCTAATAAAGAAAAAGAGAGAGAAAAAAATCAAATAGATGCAATAAAAAATGATAAAGTGGATATCACCACCAATCCCACAGAAATACAAAGTACCATCAGAGATTACTACAAACACCTCTATGCAAATAAACCAGTAAATCTAGAAGAAAGATAAATTCCTGGACACTTACACCCTCCCAAGACTAAACCAGGAAGAAGTTGAGTCCCTGAATAGACCAATAACAAGGTCTGAAATTGAGGACACAATTAACAGCCTGCCAACTAAAAAAAGTCCAGGACCAGACAGGTTCACAGCCAACTTCTAACAGATGTACAAAGAGGAGATGATACCGTTCCTTATGAAACTATTCCAAACAATACAAAAAGAAGGAATACTCCCTAACTCATTTTATGAGACCAACATCATCCTGATACCAAAACCTGGCAGACACACAATTAAGACCAGTATTTATGATGAACATTAATGTGAAAATCCTCCATAAATACTGGCAAACCGAATCCAACAGAACATCAAAAAGCTTATTTATTCATCACAATCGAGTTGACTTCATCCCTGGGATGCAAGACTGGTACAACATAAGCAGATCTATAAATGTCATCTGTCACATAAACAGAACCAAAGACAAAAACCACATGATTATTTCCATAGATGCAGAGGTGGTGTTTGACAAAATTCAACAACCCTTTATGCTAAAAACTCTCAAACTACGTATTGATAGAACTTATCTCAAAACAATAAGAGCTATTTATGACAAACCCACAGCCAGTATCCTACTGAATGGGCAAACACTGGAAGCATTCCCATTGGAAACTGACACAAGACCAGGATACCTTCTCTCACCACTCATATTCAACATAGTATTGGAAGTTCTGGCCAGGGCAGTCGGGCAAGAAAAAGAAATAAAGAGTATTCAGTTAGAAAACGAAGTCAAATTGTCTCTATTTGCAGATAACATGATTGTATATTTAGAAGATCCCATTGTCCAAGCCCAAAATCTCCTTAAACTGATAAGCAACTTCAGCAAAGTCTCAGGATACACAATCATTGTGCAGAAACCACAACCATTCCTATACACTAAAAACAGAGAGCCATATCATAAGTTAACTCCCATTTATAATTGCTACAAAGAGAATAAAATAGGAATACAACTAACAAGGGATGTGAAGGATCTCTTCAAGGAAAACTACAAACCACTGCTCAAGGAAATAAGAGAGGACATAACAGGTGGAAAAAACATTCCATGCTCATAGTTAGGAAGAATCAATATCGTGAAAATGGCCATATTGGCCATAGTAATTTATAGATTCAATGCTATCCCCATCAAGCTACCATTGACTTTCTTCACAGAATTGGAAAAAACCACCTTAAAGTTCATATGGAACCAAAAAAGAGCCTGCCTAGCCAAGACAATCCTAAGCAAAAAAGAAAACAAAGCTGGAAACATCACACTACCTGACTTCAAACTATACTATAAGACTACAGTAATCAAAACAGCATGGTATTGAGATGCAGACCAATGGAATAGAACAGGGGCCTCAGAAGTAATGCCACATATCTACAACCATCTGATCTTTGACAAACCTGACAAAAACAAGCAATGGGGAAAGGATTCCTTATTTAAGAAATGGTGTTGGAAAAACTGGCTAGCCATGTGCAGAAAGCTGAAACTGGATCCCTTCCTTATACCTTATACAAAAATTAACTCCAGATGGATTAAAGATTTAAATATAAGACCTAACACCGTAAACAACCTAGAAGAAAACTTAGGCAATACCATTCAGGACATAGGCATGGGCAAGGACTTCATGATTGAAACACCAAAAGCAATGGCAACCAAAACCAAAATAGACAAATGGAACCTAATTAAACTAAAGAGCTTCTGCACAGCAAAAAAAAAAAAAAAACAAAACTATCATCAGAGTGAACGGGCAACCAACAAAATGGGAAAAACATTTTGCAGTCCACGCATCTGACAAAGGGCTAATATCCAGACTCTACAAAGAACTTAAATTTACAAGGAAAAAACCACCCCATCAAAAACTGGGTAAGGATATGAACAGATACTTCGCAAAACAAGACATTTATGTAGCCAACAAACATACAAAAAAAAGCTCATCATCACTTGTCATTAGAGAAATGCAAATCAAAACCACATTGAGATACCATATCGTGCCAGTTAGAAGCTAGGCAATCATGAAAAAATCAGGACACAACAGATGCTGGAGAGGATGTGGAGAAATAGGAATGCTTTTACACTGTTGGTGGGAGTGTAAATTAGTTCAACCATTGTGGAAGACAGTGTGGCGATTCCTTAAGGATCTAAAACTAGAAATACCATTTGACCCAGCAATCCCATTACTGAGTATATACCCAAACGATTATAAATCATTCTATTATAAAGACAAATGTATACGTATATTTATTGCAGCACTGTTCACAATAGCAAAGACTTGGAACTAACCCAAATGCCCATCAGTGATAGACTGGATAAAGAAAATGTAGCAGCCATAAAAAACGATGAGTTCAGGTCCTACCTTTGCAGGGACATGGATAAAGCTGAAAGCCATCATTCTCAGCAAACTGACACAAGAATAGAAGGCCAAACACTCATAAGTGGATGTTGAACAACAAGAACACATGGCACAGGGAGGGGAACATCACACACTGGGTCCTGTTGGGGGTGGGGGACTAGGGGAGGGATAGCATTAGGAGAAATACCTAATGTATTTGATGGGGTGATAGATGAAGCAAATCACCATGGCATGTGTATACTATGTAACAAACCTGCACAATTTGCACTTGTACCCCAGAAGTCAAAGAGTTTATATAAATATATAAAAGACACATGCCAAGAGATAGTTTTTATTAAATCAAAATGCTATCTGGATATTAAAAACTTAGTTGTGGCAAATGTCATAAAAAAATAGTTGAAAAAAAAAAAAAAAAAAAAGTTGTCTTCTCTTTGAACAGGGCCTTCAACCTTTTTAAGCCCCGAGGGTTGGGTGGGGAGTGGGTCAAGAAGAAACAACTACATGAATGTAGCTGTCAAAGGTTTTAAATTCTGCTTTACAAAAATATATTTACAAATGTGTTTTATTTTAGTAAACTTGCAAAGGGAAAAGACTTGCCTTATTAAATAATTTACTTAAGAGCTTAGAAACAATGTTAATACATCGATGTGAGGTTTTTGTTTATTTTCAAAAGGTATTTGTCTCCACCATCCCAGAAATGGCAGGTGGCTGTACCCCTTACCTGGTGGCATCTGAGTTCCACTTGCCATCTCTTTCCACAGATGATGAGAAAGCACAGCAAGCTTCGCTGGCTCTGCAGCTTTCCATGGGAACTTGGTCTTCCTCCCCCACGTCATGCTGCCAGAAGTTAGAAACTTTGAAGAGTGAATGGGGGGTGTGGGCTGGAGTCCTTTGGACATTAGGCCAGGACTTTTCATAGCGACACGATAAACACTCCCCACAGTGCACTAACTCATAGATGATTTATTGCCGTAAGTAACTAAACAAGAGGAGACAGGCTGTTGTTTTGGTCAAGACAATCGGCATTCTCTCTCCAAGGTTGGCCAGTTGTATCTACTTACAGCCTTAATACTTTCTGGACGATAGAAACACATGATCGACACAGCATACATGGGTAACAACTTGACCAATATTACACTGATTAAAATAGCACATAGCAAGGGCAGCAGCCAGTCCCAGTGCCCTGAAATGACAGAAGTAATGTGTGTTCATATGATGTGCTCAATACAAAACCTTTAAAAACAACTTTTTGGCATTAATACACAGAATCCTTCCTTGAACATTCTGCAAGAGTAGGTGCAGACACGGAATTACTTCTTCATTTCCAGATTACCAGTATCTATAGGACTACTTCGAGAAAAGCTGGGAAGCGGAGCACCTCCCCTCCCCCGTATCATTTTCTTTGCCAAAGCAGGAGGGTCTAAGGGGTTTAGGTGGAGGAGGGCAGCTGACAGGGCTCTGTAAAGTCACCAATTAGCTGCAGGGGAGGCACACTGCCCCCACAGGGTATGGAATGAACAACCAGCCTTGGTTTGTAGCCCAAGGTGTCCGTGGATTTGACCTGAATGCTCCCCGGAGTCCCTGTGGGGCAGACAGGCACTGGATGGTTCAGACCCTCCGGCTGGAGGAGTGGTGGAGCCAGGACTGGGCCTCCAGCCCTGAGGTCTAGAAGAAATAACCTGACCTCCTGCATTCTCACACGGGGTCATTAATGACACCTTTCCAATAGATGTGCAAAAACCAACACTGTCAGGAACCTGGCCCTGGAAGGGCTCAGGTGAGCTCACAAGGAGAGGTCAAGCCAAGCCAAAGGGTAGGTTAACACACAACACCAGGGAAACCAGCCCCCAAACCAGCTGTTGGCGACATGCCTTGGGTTTGGCAACTCATCTAGTTGTAGCAGAAATTGCCCGACACTCAGTTTTCTTCAGCCGTACCAACCTCTCCAACTTCCTCAGCATCCCCGGCCCTGGCATCTTTTCCAGGATTGGAATGCCCAGTGCAGCCCCCCACCGAGGCCCTGCTGTGGCCAGCAGGACCGTTCTGCACAGCCTCGCCCTCCACACCCACCCCACACAGCTGGCCACCAGGGGACAGCTGTTCTCCCTTATTCTCTTGGACAAGGCCCTTCATCTCCTCGGAGACTCCACCCTCCTGCTGCTGTCCCGAAACACAGTTTCCCATGTCTCCAGCTTTGGAAGACTGGTCTTCTAAATTCTTCTCATTTTCTTCTGCTTGTTGTTTGTCTCTGGCACTGAGTTTACCTTTTGATTTCCTCATCTGCCTGTTGTGCATTTCTTCTCTGGAGAACCGCCACTGAAACTAGAAATCAGAGAAGACAGGGATAAACAACAAGCCTCTGGGAACCCAGAGCTTCACCCAAGGCCTTGTTTGCATTCATACCCACACTGTGTTCTAAGTGAGAAGTACAATTCCCAGAATCCTCCAGCCAAGCAGTACAGGCACCAAACTTGAATCACACCCAATCACATCACACTCCCACCAAGAGCCTTCCCTATGCCTTCCAGGATGTGTATTTTAGATGTAGATTTCAGGTTCTGGGAGGGCAGAGGAGTGTTTCTTTTGACTGGCTCTATACTCCCAATAAGTCAGGGCTGCAGCTACTCATTTCCATTGTGAGCAGGCTGTGGATTACCAGGCATGGGGCTGGCATTGTCTCACCAGGTCACCTCAGTAAGGCAGGGCCCAGACTATGGGGCAGACACTGTGCTGCACCACTCAGATCCCCTACAGGACTGGCAGGCCCACTCCCTAGCTAGGATGATAGCCCTTTGCAGACCACTGCCTCACAGAAGGTCGCACCAGGGCAACTTAGAGCCAATGACTGGCCCAGGTAGGATTCAACAACCCATTTCCTGGTCCCAATCTGGGACAACCGAAACGCCGTCCCAGTTCCAAGCCAACCTGGGGGACTGTGACTGCATCACAGCCCAAATTTGCCCTCTGCCCACTCCTGTACTGGCAAGTGTTCCTAAGGTAACTCCCGCTAAAAACTTCATCCAAATCTCAGAGGCTGCTTCCTAGGGGGCCCAGCCTGTAACCAAGCATTTCCCGGTGTGACAGGGAAGTCAGAGGCTCAGAGTCCCAAGGTCACACGGCCAGTAATAGAGTTGGGCAACAACCGGGGTCTCATCAAATCTCTGGAGCAAGACCACCCAAGGGAGCCCCAGCTCCGCCACTCACTGGCCAAGTTTCTCAACATGAATTTCTCATCTCAGTGACCTGGAGTGCACATAAGGTTTTAGTTTTAAGTTCCCACCATGGCCACTTCCTTGTGCTTCAGTTGCATCACATTGGTTTCACCAAGTATGCACTTAAATCTTAGATGTTCTATAATTGAAAGAAAAGGGGAGCTTTCGGTTCCTATGATTTCTTGCTGGGCTAGGGAGGGGAGCCCAAGAATGCAGTTGCACCATCAGTGGGAAATGATTTCTTAAGGCTTTACCATGTTGTAAATAATTCTGAGCACTTTGCTAGGAAAAACCAAAAATGTGCTATGTAAATGTTTTAAAAATCTGCCATTTTTGCAGTTTTCCACGGTAGAGGTCTATTTCCTCAAATAAAACATTGGCCTCAACACAGAATTCTGAGATTTAATATAGGATTCTTGGATTTAACACTTTTTTCGATAAGAATGGTAACGGAATGTTCCATTAAAGTAGAGAAACATGAGTGAAATATATGTTGAGGTTAGGATTTAACATTTATCCAGTCCTTTCCCACCCTGTACTCCCCAAAATTCCCAAGTTAGTTCACTTACAATGTTGGATGGGTTTCTCCTTTGATCTCTTTTGGAATGTCTCATACTATAGCTGACAGATCTCCCTAGGAGATGGGTGGAGCTTTTTCCACCCAAACTATGAGGATCCCAATAATAGGATTGCTCTGTAAGCTAAGTGGTGCCTCAGACCCATCTACTTCAGCCAAGCCTGCCAGGCAGGCATCTCGAGGCTCCAGACCCACCGGAGGAGGCTGCTGATTATGGCCCTCAGCATGAGGGCGGCTGCCTCCACCAAGCCTCCATGGCTTCCGGGCACCGTGCTATGGTTCATAACTGCTGCCCTGTGCTAGGCAGCTGCCACTGCATTTTATTCCAGCCCAAATGTAAGAATCTATCTTTTTTAAAATGGATGTTCCAAAACAGTCAGAGCCTCTTCACATTTTATATCATTTGACATGTTTTTAGAAAAAGATCAGTTAAGCCTACCTGTATAATATAGTATTCCGAGAGGCACTCGGCTCTCAGGAAAGTCAGAGGAAGTTTTACTGCTGCCAATAAAGTGGTGATTGTTTTGGCTAAGAGGCCCTAAGTGCTAAAATGTCAAAGCATTATAGTATAGGTTCAAATCCTAGTGCTGGCACTCGTTAGCTGTCAGTCCTTAGGCAGGTCATGAATCTGCGTTTCAAGTTACTCATCTCTAAAATGGTTGTCTCAGCCTCCAGGACGGCGGTGCACACCTCCAGGCCCTGTTTACATTGTATTTGATGTGAATAGCGCCCTCTGCTGTTGTGCCGTGTACTACTGAAGACATTTCCATCACATGCTAGACCTTCCATCTAACATGAGCCCAGACAATCTCAAGGGCTGCTCTTGCTAAATAAACAACAGAGCTTCCATAGTTTCCTCTGGACACCTGGCCATACCCAGTTTCCTCGGGAAGATCACACATCTTGTTGATCTGATATAAAAGGAGAACACGGACGGTGGAAAGCAAACAACAAAAACTGTTGTTTCAGAGCCCAACAATTCAAAAAGGAGGTGTCTCAGAAAGCAAGAGGAGGCCTGGACTATGCCAGAATTCGGTAGAGCCTCTGAGAGCAGGTCAAACATCCACACCACTTAAAGGCACGCAGTCTAGCCTGGGGAATGGACCCCATGTTTTGAGCAGGACCTGGGGAGTCTCTGAGCTTAACCAGCAAGCTTCAGGTAAAACAGGCTGCACTGAGTTGGGGCCTTCCCAAGCCAGAGCATCTGTGGCGGTTGGGTGTGTCACCAAATCCAACTAGCCACCCAATTCAGAATAACTGTCTAAAAGGAAAAAAATTCCTTCACGTCACAGTAGTGTGTGTCCAGAATTCCATGTCGTCAGGGGCCAATGGGTTTAATTTGCACATTTTAAAAACTGCCAATTATTTAGTTTCGCTGGAAGTCTTCCCCTGAATTGTAGAAGTCACTATTCCTTTTGAAGGAGTTTAATATTTGCTTTGAAAATCACACGCACATACACAGAGGTATCTTTCAAATGCTGAAAAGTCTTGATTAGAAAATTATGTCCATGTTGCGGATTAAAAGAAGACTAAGTGTGCCACATCCTCAGTGTGCCAATCTTGCAATTTCTTAAGTTTAAATGCTGGATATATGTATGTCCTTGCTCAGGAGTTGATTACTCATTCATTGATTTAACAAATATCTGTTGAGCACCAACTAAAATCTGGGTACTGGGTACACAACACAGGAAAAAGGTCCTCTCTTTTGGAGATTCTGTCTGGCTCTACCTGGAAAGGATAAAATCATGATCACAAATAACTAAAAGCCCAGAGGAGAGCTCTGAAGGGGAGGAACACGGTTCTTTTCCAGTGTGGTACAAAGAAGCCTGCTTTGGTGTAAAAGGAGACAGCACTGTCCCAAGAAAGGGATGCTTGAGTGGAGCCAGAAAGGAGGAGAGTCCTTGGCAGAGGCGACACAGAGGAGCTGGAGGCTACAGAGAATGGGAGGCTGACGGAGGAAGTAAGAGGGGCCAGATCCCTTGGGGCCTTCAGGGCCACGGTGCTGACTTCCATCTTTGGCTTCAGAGTCATACAAAACTTCAGAACTCCTTTGAGCAGTGGGATGACAGGATTCAAGTTGCCTTTTTAACAGATCACTTTGGCTCTGAATAGAGAACCCATTTGAAGGGGAGATCTGTTGAGATTGGAGCAGCCAAAGCGAGTGATGGTGGAGAGAGGTGGAGGGATTCCAGAGCCTCTGGGACCTAACACAGATGAGTCCTAAGGATAGACTGAATACAGGGGAAGAAGGGAGTGTCAGCAGGGACAGCCCCTAAGGGGTGGGTGCCATTCCTCTAGATAGGTGCAGTGGGCCTGGTGAGCCAGGTATGGGGAGGGGGAGAGTCATGGGCTTGCTCTTAGCTTGGGTGAGCCACAGGATGGATGGAGCTGGAGTCTTGGGGCACAGTGAGGGCTGAAAGTACAGATGGAATGGTCACTGGCACAGAGGTGGTGAAGGAGGTTTAGGAAGGCAAGAGTGAAGGGAGAAAATGGGGCTGGGTGTGAACCCCGAGGAATTTAGTGGCAAACCAGGAGAATGAGGTGGGAAAGAACCAAGAGAAAAGCTGCTTCAAGGAGTGGGGGTGGCCCCAGCGTCAAGGCTGCAAGAGCTCAGGCATGAGGAAGACCGGATGGAGTGACTCACGGTCACCAGGTACACAGGCCTGTGGGAGCAGGACGCTGCCCTGTGTTGGCTGAGCAGTGAGGAGGGGACGCTCAATGCAGAAGATTCTTCTAGGGAGTCTGGCTTTCCAGCCCCCTCTCTGGGGTACTCCCATCTGTAAGACGACCCAGAGAGTCTTGCATAGAACAAGTGCTCCACACCAGCCACCTCCGGTCTTAGAATGAGGGAGGAAATAATTAGGTACATGGAAAGAGAAAGCCGTCTACCCAGATAAGTACAGCTGATTGGGATTAGAAGTTTTTACTGACTGAAAAAACAGTAGGTCCCATCCTCTCTGAATTTTCCCGGAGGAAAGTCAATTCTACATTATTATAACAGCTTTTACAAATTTACCTCTAAAATCTCCCTGCCTGCTCAAGTTTCCACTGACTTGTTCCCCTCCGTGTGATGCCATGACCTTCATACCAACATCCACCCACGTGTCTCTCCTTTGGAATCTGAGTGTCCCACAACCAGGAACCTGTTAGGCAAAGGTGGCACCATCTCCCTCGAAGGCTGCAGCAGTGTCTGTCAGCGTCTGACAGGGGCCCTCGTGTGCACTCTGTGTTGAGTGTCACACTTGCTGAATGCATGCAGTCCCCGTGAGCCTGCGGCTGATCCATCTTCCAGCCAGTGGCTGCCTGCTCCTGGTTGTTGTTGGTGGGCCGGCAGCTGCCTTCTGGTCCACTGCACTGTCACCTGTCACATTACACCCTCAGATCCTGGAGAAAGACCTTCCTCCACACTTCAGCCCATCTGGCTTCAAGTCACCATTGCCTTGGCACTCCTTCCACAAGTGGGCTCCCCCTGGAGTTGTTGGCTGGTGAGGGGCTGCTGCAATCTGTTCATTTGCTTCATGCTCCTGCCCCAGGGCTCTGTGTCCAAAGAACACGAGGAACCAAGCATCAGGAATACAGGGGTGATGCCAAGAGTGAGGAGCCGAGCAGGTCAGGCAGGCTCTGCTGAGAGCGTGGCCTCAGCCATCAAAGGTGCAGTGAGCTGGATCCAGGTGACACTTGACTCAGGCTTTGGGGAGTTCGCTCAAGTCCCCAGCCTCTTCCCAAGCAACTGGTGAAACGTCCTCAGGAGAAGCACCGCAGGCTGCTCAGTGCGGGGTGGGAGGCATCGGAATCACCTGGCACAAGGGTTGCTGACACTTCCGGCTGGTACGACCCTTGTGCTCACCTTCAGGAATCCCAGGGAAGACTTGAGAAGGCCAGTCTTGGTGAACTGTGTTTCTAGGGCAGTTCATGCGGAGTCCAGAGATGGAGGAGGGCCCTGGGGATCTCTGAGGACAGCCTGGTCTGAGGACTTGCTGCCAGAGGCTATGGCTAGCCCCTGTCTGCCATCAGAGGCCTTTGGGTCTAGGCCTATCAAGAAGGGATTCTGGCAGGGTCTCTCTGCCCAGATCAGCACACTTCCAAGGTCCTGAGGAATCTAACAAGGCAGGCCAGAGCTCCAACCAGCTGGAAATGAGATTAAGATACAGAGAAGCTGGCCATGAGCTCGAGCCATCCCCACCCCGTGGTCAGACTGCAGCTGACTTCATGCCCTTCTTTTCATCCTAGTGATGCTACCTGGCAGACGGGAGCTTCCGGAAGAGCCTCTCTCCTCCATCCTTCTGGCCTGCCCAGCAGGACAATGGCAGACAAGGCCCTCCAGTCCCTCAGCTGTCCTGTTTTAGCAGCCCGAGATGTGATTCAGGTTGCCAGGGGCTCTGGGAGTCCTTGGAAGCTGGAGTAGCCTGCCCCCTCAAATGCTGCAGAAAATCCACTGAAGAGGAAACCCTGCTGAGGAAAACCTAGGAAGGCCATCAAAGTCTCTTACCTTCGATTCTTTCTTCTTGGTTTTCTGAGGTAGACACGGTCTCTGAAGAAAGACAATCTGCTTGGTGGATACACTCCCCTCCCTGTAACACACAGAGCTGAGAATGAGCCATTTGATGCCTTGGAGGAACCCAAAACCTGATGCAGATGTTGCCATCCCTAACTTCTCCACAGCAGACCAACCCGGGACTATGACAGTTAGGAGTCAGAGGCACCTGCTCTACCCCCCACTCCCAGGCCATCCAACCCTGCTTCCAAGGGGTACCTCAGATGCCCAACAAAAGCTTTTTGGGTATCCCTACAAAGTCAGCTTCCTAGCTAGACACACCCGTTCCCTTAATGGGAAGTAACAGTATCTTGGCCAAATGAGGACACATTGGCTGGTTCAGTGGATCTCAAAGGAGCAGGGGCCTCTTCCAAATCTGTCTCTGGTAATGATGGCCAGGTAGGTAAGAACCTGGGTGATGAGCTCAGCCCTCCAGCTGCTACAGGACGGTGGGCAGAGGACACGGCTGCACCCAGGGTCTCAGCCACGCATGGCTCCTGGAGGCGCACCAAAGACTGCGCAGTGCCAGGCGGGCCCCCCAAGGCAGTACCTGTTAACCAGCTCTGGCTCATATGAGCAAAGCAGGCGAGGGAGGGGCAGCTCTTATCTTATAATATAGTGAATATTCTCTTTCCAGAAGGCAAGACCCCAGAGCTGCCTTTAGAGATGATAGAAATATTGTAAAGATCACTGTTTTCTTTCCCCTGCTTCCACCCTTCTGTTGATTTTGTATTTTAACTTTACAAATAATAATTGTATATTTATTGAGTAGAATGTGATGTTTTGATATATGTTTGCAATGTGGACCGGTTAAATCAGGCTACTTAACAAATCCATCACCTCATATACGTAGCATTTTTTATGGTGAAAACATTTACAAGCTACTCTTTTAGCAATTGTAAAATATGCAAGGCACCATTGTTTATAATAGCCACCATTCTATGCAATAGATGACCAAAACGTATTCCTCCTGTCTGGCTGAAACTTTGTACCCTTTGATCAATATCTCTCCTTTGCCCATCGCCCCACTCCGCAACCTCTGGTCAACACTATTCTACTCTCCGCTTCTATGAGTTCAACTTTTTTAGATTCCACATATGAGAAAGATTATAAGGTATGTCATTCTGTGCCTGGCTTATTTCACCTAGCATAATGTCTTCCAGGCTCATCCTTGTCATAAGTAACAGAATCCCCCCCCTTTAATGCTGAATAGTATTCCATTGTGTATATACACCACATTTTCTTTATCCATTTGTCTGACGAGGGAAACCTAAGCTGCTTCCATTTCTTAGTGTTGTGAATAAAGCTGCAAAGTCATGGAAATGCAGACCCCTCTTCAGCATACGGATTTCACTTCCTTTGGATACATACCTAGAAGTGGGATTGCTGGATCGTGTGCTGAGTCTACCTTTAGTTTTCTGAGAAACCTCCATACTCTCTTCCATAATGGCTATATTAATTTACAGCCCCACCAAGAGCGTACAAGGGTTCTCTTTTCTCTATACCCTTGCCAACACTTAACTTTTGTCTTTTTGATAATAGCCATCCCAATCAGTGTGAGGCTCTGTCTCATTGTGGTTTCAATTTGCATTTCTTAAATCTCTGTTTTGTAAACGTCTTTACATATTACTGCATTCAGCTACAAAGTCTCTAAGAAAAAAGAGGGAGAGAAATAATACTTGCTCCACACCTATTTTGTGCTAGCAGCTGGGCGGGAGATTTCACACGTAATGGCTCATTTAAGCTTCACCTCAATGCTCCACGGAATCCTACTCCCACTTTTATAGAAGGAAACAAAAGCTTAGCTCAAGAGCAGGCTGGAGATCACACAGTGAGGATTCAAACACAAATCTGCCCAGTTCCACGCACTTTTTTCTTTTCTTTTTGAGATGGAGTTTTGCCCTTGTCACCCAGATTGGAGTACAGTAGTGTGATCTTGGCTCATTGCAACCTCTGTCTCCTGCGTTCAAGCGATTCTCCTGCCTCAGCCTCCAGAGTAGCTTGGATTACAGGCATGTGCCACCACGTCCAGCTAATTTTTGTATTATTAGGGTTTTACCATGTTAGCCAGGCTGGTCTTGAACTCCTGACCTCGGGTGATCCACCCGCCTCGGCGTCCCCACAAACTCGCCAAATTCCACCCCAAGTGGTCATTTAAGGAACAGGGAGGTGGAGGACTAGGAAGTATTATTTAGCAGGTGCGAAGGTCTGAGACAGACCTGTCCCAAGCCCCTGGGCTTAGATGGCTCAGAACCAGCTGGGCCTTCACATTCCAATGCATTCTTACTGTGAGTCTTATCTGGAAACTGACCAGGAAACTGACTCAGAGAAGCTATGTAACTTGATCAACATGACACAGTTGGCAAGTGGCAGACTGAGGACTTGGGTTCAAGTCTTCAGGCCCCAAATCCAGGGTTCTTTCTATACCACTTCACTGCCTTGTGCCTGTCGAAGTCTTGGCTGAGAAAGAATATAATGGTTCCCAGTGGCCAAGGGGCCCAAAAGTGGCCACAGACTAGCTCCCCCTGGTGCGCTGACCCACTATGACCCAGCGTGGAACCTGAGGAGCCCGGTGAGCCAAGGACCTGGAAAGACATCAACTGTTACCATGATTCTGTACTCTCAATCACCCTGGTCACCAGCCTTGCCTCATGCTGTCTGTCACTCTCCAGTGGTGGCTGTGCAGCAGGACTTGGAGAAGGCGGAGCTCTGGGGGCCGCAGGAGGGGCCTCCCCGCTCCTCGCATCAGCAGAGAGGCAGCCTGCTCCAGGAAAAGCGGGCTGAGGTTCTAGGCCCAGTTTATGCCACTTAACTGGTTATATAGCCGAAAGTATGTGACCAAGCCTCCCCAGCCTCAGTTTCCTCATCTGCAAAATGGGAATCATACCCATGCTTGCAACCCCACAGGGCAGTAAGGAGGACTACATTGGATAGTAAGCCCAACATATAGCTGGAGGGCCTTTTATGGTTGGTATGACAGGGCTCAAGGCAGGGCGAGCAGAACTGAGGGTGAACAAATGACCATGAATGTGAAATTTTAAGGAATGCCACAGCAAGGCCCGAAGGGCAGGTCTTTACAATCCATTTGTGGAGCTACTGACCAGTGCCATGATCTTGGGTAAGTCCCTCAACCTCCCTGGCTACACTTTCCTCAGCTGTCAAGTGGGTTTAATAATAATACTCATAGGATTTTTCTTTTCTTTTTGAGGACTGAAATTTTTATCTGTAAAGTGCCTACCTAGCCTAGCACAAGGCACAGAGTTGGTGCTGGATTTCTTTTGCATTAGAGGCTCTGGGTCCCCTCATTCTGGGCAGCTCATCTTTGACATGCTGGGCAGTAATGACTCACAGGGCCCCCCATGTGGGAAATGGGGTGCAGGGGAATTCTCTGGGTGATGGTGGTTAAGAATGCAAAATTCTGGCTCTGCTGCTTCCCAGTGGGAAAGTTTACATAACTACTGGCCTCTTGCACAGGATTAAATAATTTATAGACATGAAGTGCTTATTAGGAACAGTGATCACTAGTATAGAATAAGTGTTCAATAGAATCCTAACGATTACTGTGCTTGTTACCTGGTAGTCCTGACGACGGGAGTCGGTAGCACACAGGTGAGCTGCCAGCCGTAGGCCGCCAGGGAGTTCACCAGGGGCACGTAGTCTGTCTGCACCTCGACACCCTGGGGGAACAAGGCCAGCATTAGTGCCGCTGCTGCCATGAGCCAAGTCCCAAGCAATGAGAGGGGACTATTCCATCTGCCAATCCAGCAAAGCAGAAAAGAGGTGGCGGCGCCTGGCCGCTCAGAGGCTCCTGCTCCAGTGCTTGCTGACTTCAAAAGTTTAGAGTCAAACAGCCAATGGGATTTCCTGCTGGGCCCCAATTCAGCCTGTGACGTTGGCAGGGAATTGGAGCCAAAAGATTAATCCATTAATTTTGTTTTATTCTTGCCTGGACAAATAGCCTCCTGTGAGTTTTACAGATGAAGCATAATTGTCTCGCCTCTGAGAGGTATCCAGGGCATATAAGTACACGTGCTGCTCTGGATGAGTTCAGCGTGTTGTGGGGAGTTAACATATTTGACAAATGGCCAAGTAGTTGTTTGCGTCAGCCACAGTAGCAACACACACATGCACATCCACGCGTGTATGCACACATAGAAGCCACTTTGCCTATGTTACGTGCCCGTCCATGCAGGGATGAATGAATCCTGCCATTTTTTTTTTTTCTATTGCAAGGCTGGAATGCAGTGGTGAAATCTCAGTTCACTGCAGTCTCTGCCTCAGGCGATTCTCCTGCCTCAGCCTCCCGAGTAGCTGGGGCTATAGGCGCGCACCACCATACCCGGCTAATTTCTGTACTTTTTTAGTAGAGACGGTGTTTCACCATGTTAGCCAGGATGGTCTTGATCTCTTGACCTCATGATCTGCCTGCCTCAGCCTCCCAAAGTGCTGTGATTACAGGTGTGAGCCACCACGCCTGGCCTGCCATGTTTTATTTCAAATTAGGATCTGGATTAACTAATACTTGTCTTTGAATTTAAAAACTCAGCCCCCTGCTAGCACAGGGAGAGATGTGAGGCCCCTGCACTGGCTTTGACCACTGGGGGCGTTCTCACTGCAACAGGCCTCATTTCTTACTCCAGGATCTTCACTAACACTGAACGTGTAGCTCCCACCCCTGCCCCCTGTGTAATTGGACTCCCCATCCCTTCTAGTTTGGCTTCTTGTAGTTGGCTTCCGAAAATCTCAAACGTGTATCCAGATTCTTTCCACCCTGTATGCCCACATAGTTCATTTATCAAGAACTGTAGAGCCGTGGTGGGTGCAAAGGCATGGTTCTGGCCCCTGGAGGTCACTGGCTAACAGAGGCAACAGCACAAACGTGAGGAACTAGAAAACCTAAGGGCTCGCTGGCGCGGCCATGAGACTTTGAATGCCAGCAGAGGTGGGAGAGATCCCAGCCACAGTCAAAGCAGGCTTCCTGGGCATATACAAATTAGAAAGTAAAGCCAGGCCTAGAATTCCAAGGTCTGCGATCGGCTTAACTCAGAGGCAGCGCGTGTGACTGTGGTCTGGAGTACTCCACTCAGAGGGCGGCCATGTGTGGTGAGTGGCTATTCTGCTGGCGGCCCTTTGGGAAGAGAATCAGCTCATCTGGCTGCCCTGGGCAAGGGGGATGGAAGGGAGAGCAGGGAACCACCTGTCCCATCTCCTCAAATGGCTTTTAAAGCTTCTATAACTGGCTACCAGTTCCAGAGTGGCTACCAAGTCACCTGAACCCCTGGTGATTAATTTATCACTCTCAGCCTCAGTTTCCTCAGCTGTATAAAATGGGTGCTGGCCTATGTCAGTGGTTCCCAAAGCGTGGCCCCTGAGCCAGCAGCAGCAGCATCACCTGGGAACTTATGAGAAGCCCAGATTCTTGGGGCCCCATCCCAGACCTGATAAAGCAGGGACTCTGGGAGTAGCACCCCAGAATCTGTGCTTTAAAAAGCCCTTCCCAGTGGTCCTGATGCAGCTAGGTCTGAGAACCACCGCCTAGGTGATCGTGTAGGTCTCTTCTGGCAAAAGAAAAGTCTGTAATTCTGTGGCCAGAATCTATCAGCTGTTGCCTCGAATCTAACTTTTCCCATTATTCTCCATGTGCAAAAAAAAAAAAAAAATGTATTTTTAAAGGATCAGCTCTATTAGAAATTCTGCAGCAACACAAGGGAACGGATGGAGCAAGGGGAGAAAAGAAGGCAAGTGCTAAGGTTTGAATGTGTCACCCAGAGAGCTTCCATGTGTTGACAACTTAATCCACCATGCAGTGACACTGGATGGTGGGTCCTCGTGGGAGGTGTTTAGGTCAGGAGAGCTCAACCCTTGTGAATGGATTAATGCCAACTCAAGCAAAGGGCTTGAGGCTACGAGTTCAGTCTCTTGCTGTCTCCCCACTTGGATGACACAGCAAGAAGGCCCTCACAAGATGCTAGGCCCTTGACCTTGGACTTCCCAGCCTCCAGGACCAGGAAACGTCTGTCCTTTATGAATTGTCCAATCTCAGGTATCCTGTTACAGCAGCATGAGTGGACTCAGACAGGCAGAAGTGGAGAAGAGGAAGGGGAAAGAGGAAACTCAGTAAAGGAAGAGGGAAAGGGGAAGGGGGAAGGAGGAAGGGGAAAGGGGAAAGGGGAAAGGGGGAAGGGGGAAGGGAGCAGAGGAGAGAGAGGTATAGGGATAATCCATTTACAGGAGAGGCCAGGAGAGAACACCATTCTGGTCCCTTCCCTGAAGCCCCTATCAGGCCAGAGATGGCCCAGCAGTTGTGACCATCCTTTCTGCCTGGTCTCTGGGCACATGCATGCCTCCCTTCCAGACCAGCACAGCCAGTATTCCTCCTGCTGGGTGCCACGCTCACCACCTGCTCAAGGAGCCCTGGGGTTGCTTTATCCTGAGACCCCCTGCCCCCATCCCCATATTCCCAGTTTAGAGAGAGAAGGAAAAACAATTTTAAGTCCCTACTCAAGCTTTGGGAGGTTATGATTACTTGGGCCTATCAAGAATAACCTTCCCACTTTATCAAGCACTGTGACAAACCCGCCACAATCAGACAGTCGTCATGGCAACCAGGACAAGCTTTGGCGCCTCACAAAGCCCTGAGTGGCAGAATGGAGTCCTTTTATTGGTGGCTGCATCCCGGGCTGGGTTTTCTCTGCAGGCACCGGGAGCTTCGAGACAATGAACAACCCCTGCTGCAGCCCGACCCGCCTGCTTAGACCGCGAACCGGCTGCTTCCGTTTTGCTCCGTTTTATTTCATTTTGTCACTCTTAAAGAAAAAAACAGCAGGATTTCTCCCAAACATCTTTTCCCCCCAGGGTAGGAGGTGTCAGCCAGAGGGTGCGGAATCATAAAGCCCAAAAGCAAAAGGGAAAACACATGAGCCTGAACCCTCAACTCCCTCTCACCCTGCTTGAGAGAGCTGAGGGTTCAATCTCACGTGTTAATTTCTGGCCATCACATGGTGAGTTGACAAGTAAAATACAAAAGGTAGCGGTGAGATGTTGCACTCTGCCAGACTGTCCCACTCCAACTATTTGGGATGGTCTTGGCTTAATTAATGTTAAATGTGGTTTCCGTAAGCATCTATCAAACCCGTTTGTGTATTATCAATATAGGAAGGAGATGGCATTTCTAAAATACAAGATGAGCCTGTCAGTGAAAGACGCTTTTAAGTCCATTAGCTAAGAAAGGTGGTAGGAAACATAACCGGATGGAAGGCTCTCTTTGATCTGCTTTTTTGCGACACTCCAGTGAGGAGAGAAGAAAGCACCAACAGCACTCAAAAGCCAGCCTGCTCATCAAACAAAATGACATTTCTTTCTCTGAGTAGGAGCAAAAATTTTAATTAACTCTCCACTCTCCTGTGGTGGATACGTAATCTCCGCTCACACCTGGAGTGTTAAAAAATGGAGCATGTCCTGTGGTTTTTCAACTTGTATAAAAGGAATTCATTTGTGTTTATGGCTCTTTTTTCCTTTGTTCCCTATAATTTCTCCAGTGGTTGCAAATCAACGGAAGAAACAGACATTCTACACAACCTTTCTTTAGCCTCCAAAAAGTAGGACAACAGAACGTAGAGTTTACTAAGAAATGCATTTGTCATTTGATAATTTTGAAAGATCCTCTATGCAGGGAAATAATTAGGAATTCATAAATTGGTCCAGTGAGAAAGTCTGTATTCGGAATGTCAGTTTGCTCTTCTTCTCTCCTGTGTTTCATCCTGTGGAAGCAATCTGGGAGAAAAGAAGTTTGAAAGAAAATATTTTGCTCTTTATACATGATTGTAAATGAAGAAAGGAATTTGATTTCCTTGTCTGAAAGGTGCTTGAGACTACGTCTGAAGCACCTGCAAACAGTGACTGGGGACAGTTTGCCTCTGTTCCTGACATCCACGGGACTGAGCCCTTGCCCTTCACCAATCAGGGTACGTAAGGAACAGTCCTGCAAAAACTACTTCTGCATCTTTTGTAAAATTGCTACCATAACACTAATGCCCACAAATTACTGGCAAGGTGTGCTTATGCTACTCTTATTTTACTTATCAATTTTAAGCATCTTAATCTTCTACCGTGGGAAATAAAGGTTTAGTGCTCCCACATACATTTCTTATTTCCTTTTCCTTTGTGCTCCAAATGGTTATTTTATAATTTAAGGTAAATCAAAAGTCAGTGTTTGTGTTACCATAATTTTGCAAATATTGCTCAATTCTGGGTCAAATAATGTACTATGACCGTGCCTTCTTTTTTATATGACCCTTTATTTTTCCTAGAGTTAACTATTACCTCAATTTTTTTTTCATCTTCCTGGTTGTGTATGAACCCATCACTAATTTATCCCACATGTTGCAGTACCTCTATTTAATGCCCATCAATAAATATTCCATGTGCCCAAATACATTAGTTCCATTTTTTTCCCCCACTGGAGACATCATTTCTGAACCCTTGCTCCAATCTGGTCTGGTTGCTTTCCATCTCTGAGTTCTTCCTAAATTAGTGTCTATGGCTGGCATGTTCTCTTTTTTTGGTTTCCTCCTCATTTTGCAGGAGCACGTCCTCTAGTGACTCTCTAGGCAACAATGCCCTAGAAGTCATCTGAATCCATGCATTTCTAAAAATGCTTTTGTTTTAATTAACAAGT